AAAAAAAGAAAAAGAAAAAGAACAGCAAGGCTCTGGGTAGTGACAGTTGCAAACTTCTTTCTTCTGAGCACGAGAGTTAGTTCATGAAAGGGGACAGATTTGAAGTGTCAATATTCAGAAAAGGGATGAAATTTTCTCATGGACTAAAAGACTGACGGGCAGAGTTACAAAAGAAAAGATGATCTGAAGCAATGATTTATGGCTTGAATATTTTGTAACCAATTGCATCAAAATCTTGTATTACTGGCTAGATTTCTTCTTGCTATTAAACAGAGTTGATCTTTCGATCATCCTGACCTTGCTCGAATATAGTGAAATGAATCTTCACCATTATTCTGTTCACATTTTACTCCAACCTTACCTTTTGTTCAGTATTGGGAATACTAGTTAAACATGAGGCTCTATTTCAGTTAATATAATCGTTTTCCTAATCAAAATCTCTTGATTAATCTAAAAGGTTGGATGAGAGTTACAGGGAGAAAGGAAGCTGAATTCGATGGCTAAGGAGTCGTCCATGCTAGCTGAAACTCCAATAGCAAACGAAAGTTCAACTTATTGGGGCAATATTTTCAAATATCTCCTCATGGGAAACAAATGAGATTCTACCTCTTGCGTTCGACAAAGTACACATGAATGTGAATCTACTCAGCTATTGCATAGAGATGATCACATGTTGATGAACACACAACCTAAAGGACACTAGACTCCTGCCAAATAGGAACATCTAATATGTTCAGGGAAGTTTCTTAACCTTTCTTCATTGTTGCATTATCTTTTATGTGAAAATTGTCTCACTTGCACTTGTTTCATTATCACAGAATGTGCAAATATTACTTTCCTCCGGCCCTTGAGCCGCGTTTATCATCATCTCGGCCTCATTACCACTCAACTTGCTCGGTCATTCGACCGTTGTGGCTTCTTAGCCATTTTGATATCAACTTTTTCGGTCATTCGACCATTACAGTTTCTTAACTGTTTAAGATCAGCTTGTTTAAAATCAATTCATCTAAGATCAAAATCAATTCATTTAAGATCAACTCAGCTAAAATCAGCTCTTTTAAGATCAAAACCATTTAAGATTAATTTGTTTAAGATCAACTTGCTCAACTAGCTTGGTTATACAACCATTGCTACTCAATTGGCTCGGTCGTTTGACTGTAGCTACCCAACTTGCTCGGTCGTTTGACCGTTGCAATTCAAATTTTAAGATCAAGTCATTTAAGATCAACTCACTTAAGATCAACTCATTGAAAATCAAATCATTTAAAATCAACTCACTTAAGATCAACTTGTTCGGTCATTCGACCATTGCGGTTTCATAGCCGTTTTTACTTTACTTGTTCGGTCATTCGACCGTTGCGGTTTCATAGCCGTTTTTACTTTACTTGTTCGGTCATTCGACCGTTGCGGTTTCTTAACCGTTTTTACTTTACTTGTTCGGTCATTCGACC